TATTGTAACTTTGAATGACCTCTGATTAACTAACCCAGATATGCTCTGTAGATTTTATGGCCCCTCCCAGCTCCTATAAGTTGATACCTTTGCTCTTCTGAGTTCCTTAGAAATGTGATGACCCCAGGCAGAGAGTCTATGTGGATAACCATCATCAATGACAACTGAAAGATCAGGGTATGGGGCGTTGCTCCAGTCTCTGATGCATATCCAGTAAAACAAAAGACTGTCAGGAACTAAGATCAGATGTCTGCCCCACCTGGAGATCAGATGGAGGCCCCACTGGGATTAGGTCTATTTTTCAGGGACTGTTAAATTTGAGTTGTCTATTCTTCTTATCCTTCTGTTTGGACACTTGATTATAAAATGTGACTTTAGATGTTGTTCCAAAACTGCTGAGCAAGGTACAAAAATTCTAATGTTGCAAAATGTCAACCTGAAACCAGGAACAAGAGACTATTTCCAAATGAGTGCACTAAACAATTTCGTTCCTCTCACCCAGATCTACACCCCAAAACAGCAGGAAGATGCTAGATGGGTCTTCATGCCGAATCCCTCAAGAATGAAGAATGACCAAAGAATGGGGAGATTGAAACTGGCAAACAGCCATTCATGATTAAGTAGCCAGGAACTAAAGTTTTTTTGCTTTTTGCAATTACTGATTCTAGCTTTTAGCTGTTTAACACACTTATCATTAACTGTGCTGTTTAGACAATATGCTATCTGACTCCCACTAGGTTCCTATGGATAACAGCTCCCTGGAGCCTCGGTCACCATGGTAATGGGTGTTTGAGCTGTTTTTCAGGAATTAGAACCCCTTGTCCACTTCAGGCCAGTTGAGACCACCAACCCATCAATTGGGCCCACAAACATGTCCAATAAGTGACCTTTTGATGACAAGAGGCTAAAAACTCCACCCTCAGATCATGCTAACACCACTATTTTGTGAGCGTGGGTCCTGTGAAGAGGCGTGGAGTCTGACTACACTTGTGCAGCTCATCAATTACCTCACCTCTCCTCACCTCCAACCACCTCTCTCCACATTTCAGACCACCTTGCCCCACTACCCCATAAATGTCCCTGAGTCCCTATTTTCAGGAAGCAGATTTGAGACTCATTCTCTCGCTTCCTCACTTGGCTGCCTTGTGAGTAAACCCTCTCTCTGCTGCAATCTCATCATCTCAGTGTTTGGCTTTCTGGGCAACGGGCAAAAACGAACCTGGTTCACTAACACCCCTGGCATGCCTTTCCCCACCTTCCTTACCAGGTGAAAGTTGACCTCTCCTTAGAGGTCCAGCTCAAAAGCTGCCTGCTCCTGCTGGCTTCACCCAATACCTCTTCAGGCTCCCCTGGAATGTTCCACCTTCCTGCTTGTAGTTCTATTTGTGTTAAGTTTCTTCAGCCATCTGTCTCCTCCATTCAACTCCGAGCACCTCAGCAGGGGCCCTGTCTGTTCTCGCTACGCCTCCTGCTCCAGTGCCTCCGGGGGTGCCCTCCACCTCCCAGGCACAGCCTGCCTAAAATTGGAGGTGGGAGCCATTACTTGGACATAAAACAACCAGCCTCTCCACAACACAGCACAACCCCCAATTTCACTCAAGTTGAGCAGTTCTATTTGCTTTTCTTGTTTATCTTAACGACCAGCTCTTTCTGGTGGAGAGCAAATTAGACTATGACTCAGATTTCACGTAAATTACCTCCCTGATTCAATATACCTTCCACAGTTCTATCAGATTTCTGGGAGTTTCCATTTATTTCTTCTTGGCTCCTTACTCCAGCAATAATATTTTTAGGTGAGGAAGAAGAGAGAATTGCAGAATACATGGCTCCCAGCTAAAATCTGAATAACACCCCAGCCTTGAGCAGGACAGTCCAATGACTCCCCTCCCCCAGGGGCCGCACCCAGCTCTGGACGGGCCCCCAGCTCCCTCTGGCCTCTCCCACCCTGGCTCACTAGCTGCTGCCAGGAGCTTCAAGGGGATGTACGGTCCTTTCCTTACTGCCCTGGAGGCTCCTTTGAAGGCAGAAAAAACCTCTTTTTCCTTTCTGAGTGCAGTAGGTGCCCATTAAATATGTCTTGCATTGGAAAGGATGGGGAGGAGGAGGAGAAGGAAAAACCAAAAGATTCTACAAAAAAATAAGTAAATAAATCTCAAAACGATCTAAATGTAAACCAGAAAGAAAAAGTACAAATGTACGGGAAGAAATGTTAAATAATAATGCTGAGTTAAGGAAACCTTTCCAAACAAGACCCTTTCTAATCAAAATCCTAGAAGCCATAAAGGGAAAGTTTGATCTATTTGATCTCTTAAAAATTAAAAATTGCTCCAAAGCAATCCTAAGAAAAAAGAACAAAGCTGGAGGCATCACAATCCCTGACTTCAAAATATACTACAAAGCTATAGTGGTCAAAACAGCATGGTACTGATACAAAAACAGACACACAGATCAACGGGACAGAACTGAATGCTCAGAAATAAAGCCACATATCTATGGAACTGAAACCATAAAACTCCTAGAAAAAAATATAGGCAGTACCCTCTTTGACATTGGTCTTAGCAGCATTTTTTCAAATACTATGCCTACTCAGGCAAGGGAAACAAAGGAAAAAATAAACAAACGGGACTACATCAGACTAAAGAGCTTCTACAAAGCAAAGGAAACCAGGAACAAAATGAAAAGACAATCCACCAACTGAGAGAAAATATTTGCAAATCATATATCTGACACGGGATTCATTTCCAAAATATACAAAGAACTCCTGTAACTCATGAGAAAAATACTCATGACAAAAAACAAACACCTCAAGCAAAAACAGGGGAGAGGATATGCATGGACATTTTTCCAAAGAAGATATACAGATGACCAATAAGCGTGTGAAAAGATGTTCAACATCACTAATCATTAGGGAAATGCAAATCAAAACTACAATGAGATATCACCTGACACCTGTTCGAATGGCTATAATCACCAAGAAAAAAATAATAAATGTTGGAGAGGATGTGGAGAAAAGGGAACCCTCACACAGTACTGGTGGAAACACAAACTGGTGCGTCCACTATGAAAAACAGTATGGAGATTGCTCAAAAAATTAATAATAGAAATATCATATGATCCAGCTATCCCATTATTGGGTATTTACAAAAGAACACGAAATCAGCAATTCAGGGGCTGGCCCCGTAGCTGAGTGGTTAAGTTTGTGTGCTCCGCTTCAGCAGCCCAGGATTTCGCTGGTTTGGAGCCTGGGTGCGGACATGGCACCACTCATTACGCCACGTTGAGGTGGCGTCCCACATGCCACAACTAGAAGGACCTAAAATATACAACTATGTACTGGGGGGATATGGGGAGAAAAAAACAGGAAAAAAAAAACAATGTAAAGAGACTTATGCACCCCTATGTTCATTACAGCATTATTCACAATAGGCAAGACGTGGAAGCAACCCAAGTGCCCATCAATGGATGAGTGGATTAAGAAGATGTACCATATATATAGAATGAAATACTACTCAGTCATAAAAAAGTAAAATCGTGGCATTTGTGACAACATGGATGGATCTTGAGGCTATTATGCTGAGTGAAATAGACCAGACAGGGAGAGACAACACTGTATGATTTCACTCCTATGTGGAAGATAAAAACACAAATGGATAAGGAGAATAGATTAGTGGTTACCAGAGGGGAAGGGGGTTTGGGAAGGGTGTATGGGATACAGGGGCACAAACGTACAGTGATGGATGAAGACTGGACTATTGGTCGTGAGCAAGATGAAATCTATACAGAAATTGATATATAATAATGTACCCTGAAATATACACGTTATAAACAAATATGATCACAATAAAATAATTTTTTTAAAAAATTAAAAATTGCAAAGGGCACCATAAACCAGGTCAGAATACAAGAGACCAGGAGACAGTATTTGCAGCACCCACAACAAAAGGAGAACAGTGACAATACACAAGAGACCCCACAAATCAACATGAAAAGACTGACGCCAATTTTTAAGAAATGGGTCAGAGACGTGAACAAATCATTCGAGGGCAGTGACACCCACCCAGCGTCACACAGCTCCTGGGGGGCAGGGTAGAGGCCAACACCAAGCCTTCTGACGCTGGTATTTAAGGGGAAAATGTGATTTTAATAGTTCAAAGCTTTCTAGGTCTGAATCTGCCTGTATAAGCACAGAGATCGAGGCTCCCACTCCCAAGTTACACTCACACGTCTACAGTAGGTTTTTATTTAAGATTACAGCCCTGCTGACGTTCTACAACGTGCCCCCTCACGCCCTGCATCCGGGCCGCCTTTCTGACGCAGGGCGCACCGGACCGCCTCTCCCTTCTCCCTCACCCCCAAGTCCTGACCACAGGGCCAGGCAGAGGGGACAAGAAGCCCTGCCATCTCCCTGCAGGGTCTCCCGTCATGCAGCCCTAGGTACGGTGCTCCCCTCTCAGGGCCTCAGTTTCCCCACAGGGCCTGGCACTGAGCAGGCACTCAGGGACGCGGTGGGTGGAACAACTCGGATTCCCTGCATCTCGAAAGCAGCCGTCTGCCGCCATCAGCCTCAGCAGCAGCCCTCTGGGCAGCGCAGGGCGGCCAGGCCACAGGAGCAGAGGCTCGCACTCCCCTGCCCCCTCCACGCCCTCTGCCTCCTCCAAATTCCCCAAAGGTTGAGCACCCCGACACCCACCTCTTTCTGGGGTCACCTGCTCGTGTCTTGGGGAGTCCAGAACCCGAGCTGAGCTGGAGGGAGGTTTGTGAACACTACGAGCAGTTTTCCTCCCTCTCCATTGCTCAGGGGAACAGGAGGTGGGAGGAAGCAGTCAGACGAACCGGGTTCAAACCCGGGCTCTACCGCTGCTCACCCTGTGACCTTGGGTCCATGATGGAACCTCTCTGAGCTGTGATTTCCCCTCATCTACAAAATGGTGACAGTGATCCTTTTCTTAGTTGATGCGAGGATAGGGAGCTGGGCGGGGGTCCTACCCTCCCCAGCTTACCAAGGAATCTTCCTCTGGCTGAGTGAGAGCAAGATCCAGTTGTTCTTAGCTGTGCAGATCCAGTCACAGGCTGTGTGTCTGTGCAACAACCAGACACATCCTCTGGGCCCAAATATACTTCAGAACTAAAAAGAGAAACTGAAACTAGCTCCTCTGAGCAGCTCTTGAGCAACAAACATACCATCGGGCACCACCCTGGCTATTCCCGGCCTCTTTGCAACCCCCTTAAAGGAGTAACCCCAGACCTGACATTCCAGGTCCTTCTTGGCTCAGCCCTCCTGCTTTGCGCTTCTGGAAGGAAGACCAGCTATGGCAGACTGTGGGAGCTTCAGCAAATTATTCCCCCAACCAGTCAGCTTGTCCCCAGGCCCCTCCTCCCTTGTCCCTCCCCACACTCCCCAGAATGCCTGCCTCATGCACCTTTGTGTCACCACCAATTAGCACACCCCAGATGCTCACTGAGTACTTGTGGTTGCTCCCATTGAACCCCATGCCCGTGCGGCTTCTAGACTTTGCTTACGTGGGTCCTTCTGCCAGGAGGACTGGCTTCTTTTTCGTTGTCGGTGCTGTGAAGTGGACCCTACTCCTAGCGACCCTGTGGACAGCAAAGCAGAAGCCTGCCCCATCTTTTTGCTCCATCCTCTCACCTTAGGCACTATATCAGACGATGCTACGCTGCTGTTCAGAGGGTTTTCATGGCCAATTTTTTCAGAAGTGGGAGACCAGGTGTTCTTCCTAGTCCGTCTCATCTAAAAGCTCCGCTGAAGTCTGTCCACCATGGGTGACCCTGCTGGTACTTGAAATACCAGTGGCATAGCTTTCAGCATCGTGGAAACACGCAGCTGCCACAGTAACAACCAACAGAGGGGTGGGGTGGTTGCTGACAGGAAATGAACCCGGGTTGCAGTAGTAGGCACCAAATCTTAACCACCAGATGACCAGGGCTGGCTGCTTCCACCTCTGAGAAGCCCTCCTGCCTCCTCCTTGGCAGAGTCCACTGCCCCCTGCTTTACTCCCATGGTGCCAGGGGAGGGGCCTCAGCCCACCGCTCAGCTACTGTGTCCGTGTCTGCCACTCCCCTTTTGATCAGGCCTTTCTCTAGACTCATCCCTGATGGCAGGGACAGCACCACTGCCCTTGGGTCCTGGTGACCCTCCCCAGAAGGCCCATCCTTGGTGATCAATGCCCTTTGGACGGATGCAGATGTTCTTGGGAGCGAGCCGAGAGAACGCTGCTGATTTCTGCCCCCGCCGATTTCTGCTTGGTGACAGATCATTTTCTCTCCGAATGGAAGACTTTTGTAGGAAGGCCAGTGTCATGGCCACTCAGAAAGTCTGAAAACAGAAAGCGAGTCCTGTTCCTGCTCGGTTCCTGTGCAGAGCAGCCCCCATGGACGGAGGGCGGAGTGTGAGCCAGCACTGTGCTGGCATCTTCCAGTCTTTCCTATTTAATTCTCACCTCAGCTCTAGGAGTTATCAACTCTACTTTACAGATAAAGAAACTGAGGGAAAGGTCCCCCACTGTAAGTCATGTGGCTGGATTGCTGTTGGACTTTCCTGCTTTGGCCCAGGCAGAAGGGGCTGGGAGGGGGCCTGGACCACAGAGGCCACCATGACCCTCCCATTGGGGCCTGCTTCTTCCTGGGCAAATGTCCATGGGGCATCATGGCCACGTCCCCGCCAGCCTTTGAGGGAGGACAGAAGAGTGCTGGGTATCAGGACACACACTGCAGTGTGTTCTGATAATCACCCCATAAAGTGGGCCAGGAATGTGGCCTGATTGTGCACATGAGGAAGCCGAGGTGAGGGGAGAGGCTGTGGATTAAACCCAGCGACTCAGGGGAGGAGCCAAGACTCAAACTTTGACCTTTGACAATTATTGAAAGGTATTTTTTTGTCCACTTCTGCTTGTTTAAATTTGTTTCGTGTTGTTATTTCTGTAACTTCCCTTCTTGATTCTTCTCCCTTTCACTCTCATGACTGCTTGACAGCCCAACACAACCACTGGGAGATGCAGAACTCAAACCCGCACACGAGCTGTGGCCGTGTTATCATAAGGACCCTCTGTTGAGAATGCAGAACGGACCCCAGATGGACATTTGTGGACTCATTGCACACTCTTATGGTGGAAGAGACAGGATGGGGGCTGCAGGCTCAAATTGGGGTGAAAATAAGGTGGCTTTTGTCTCCAGGGACATGAGCTGGCACCCCTTTTGGAGATTCTAAAGACCTAGTGACTGTAAAATAGTGACCCCAATATCACAAGAAAGGTCACCCAGTATGACTGCAGCTCCAGAGTCAGGGTCTTGGCCAAAATCCTTGGTCAATAAGCAATTTCAGCCCACTCTGAAGGCAATACCCAATCAGTGGGAAAGTAACCCAGAAATTGCTTAGGAAGGTGTCTGGCAAATGCCACCAGCATCACCTGGTGAAGCTGGAAGAGTCAGCAGCCAGAGGTACAGGGCCACCACCCTCAGCCCACCCCTGACCCACCCAGTCTCTCTCCATCCCATGGGGAGGTGTGCATGGCTCAGACAAGCTGGACATTGTAAGCTGTGTGTTCCAGATTAGGGACCCCACCTCCTTGTTGTCTTCCCTTTGTATAGGGACAGTGGGAGGGGGTAGGGAGCTTGAAGCTGAGCATGTGACAATGGGGACTTCTGAAGTCGTCACAGTGGCTAGTGGAGACAGACATCCTAGGACTGCGAGCACAGGGCAATTGCACTCCATGCAGACAGCACCTGGGGACCTCATGGGATGTGGACGGGGAGCCACTGGTGTCGACCACTCATTGCCAGTCTGCCAGCATCATCCAGTGGACAATCCTATTGTCCTTTCAGGTGGTAAAATTGGGCCCTGAGTGAGTAACAACCTCAGGAAGGCTTAGAACTAAGTATAAAGATGAGAAAGTCAAACCTGTAATCTTAATACTTTTATATCAAGACAAACGTTTTCATTTTAAATGTACAGGTATTCCTCGCCTTCAGAAAAGTTCGCTTTTATGAAAGATGTAGATTAGTATGGTAACTGCTTTCTTTGTTAAAAGCAAAAATCCAGGGAAGTGGCATAATGCGAAATTTTTGAAGGTGGGGGATACTCCTGTTTGAGCCATTTCTGCTTATGAAAGACCTCATAGGAGCGCTCTACTTTCGGATAGTGGGGGAAAGCTGTAGATATAACGTTTAAGAGAATTGGACACATTCTCGGAGTTAACACAGCTTGGATTCCAATTTAAAACAGGTAGTTAAGTAATTGATGTAGATTAATGATTTTAAGTTGAAAGGCGCTCTACTAAATACTAAGGGTGTGCAAACAAGCTCCAGCCCAGAGAGGGAGCGGCCTCAAGTTCAGCAGATCCCGAAACAGGAGGGGTGAGGAGTGGCGGGTGGCGGTGAAGGGGGGCTGTGAGAGCCACACCAGCAGACGTCTCTGGGGCATGTGCCAGGGGCACCACCAACCTTTAACCCCCTCACCGTCAGGACACCAAGGAGATTCTTGTATGGTGTCACTGTTGTGCTAAAGTATGGCCTTAAAAATAACAGCATCTAGCCACTATGGAAAACAGTGTGACAGTTCCCAAAAAATTAAGTATAGAATTAACATATGATCCAACAATTCCACCTCGGGGTATATACTCAAAAGAATTGTAAATAGGGTCTCAAAGAGATGTTTGTTCACCTGTGTTCACAGCAGCATTATTCCCAATAGCCAAAAGGTAGAAGCAACCCAAGCATCCATCTATGGATGAATGGATAAGAAAAACGTGGAGTATACACATAAGGGAATATTCTTCAGCCTCAAAAAGGATGGAAATCCTGACACATGTTACAATGTGGATGAACCTTGAAGACATTATGCTCAGTGAAATAAGCCAGTACAAAAAGACCAATACTGTAGGATCCACTTCTATGAGGCACCAGGAGTAGTTGGAATCATAGAGACAGAGAGTAGCCTGGTGGCGCCAGGGGCTGGGGGAGGAGGATGGGGAGTCAGTTTACTGGGTGCAGAGTTTCAGTTTTGCAAGATGAAAAGAGCTACAGAGATGGATGGTGGTGAGGGCTGCGTAACATTATAAATGTATTCAACCCCACTGACTGTAGGCTTAAAAATGGTAAATTTTACATTACTTATATTTTATCACAATACAAACTTTAAAAATACATTCTAAAAAGCCCAATCTTGGGCCAGCCCCATGGCCGAGTGGTTAAGTTCATGCCCTCCGCTTCAGCAGCCCAGGGTTTCGCCAGTTCAGATCCTGGGCGCAGACATGGCACCGCTCATCAGGCCATGCTGAGGAGGTGTCCCACATGCCACAACTAGAAGGACCCACAGCTAAAAATATACAACTATGTACCAGGAGGCTTTGGAGAGAAAAAGGAAAAATTAAATTAAACAAAAAAACCCCAATCTTTGTGAAAAAACAGCACCTGAGCCCTTCATATTTTGCAAGGCATTTTCACCCACATAATCATATAGGTTACAACAGCCCGGTGATGAAAACACTCATGGTCCCTGCTTCACAAATCAGAAACTAGTGTTCAGATGAGGTGAAATGACTTGGCCCCCAGTGTGGGGAAGCGGGGCTGGCCTCTCTGATTTTTGTTTTGTTTTGTTTTCTGCATCATGCCATTTCCCCAGAGGGAGAGAAATCGTTAAAACCCTCATGTATTCTAAATATCTAATTTTCTTCCCTAAATTCTCTGTCTTGGCTTGAGGTGGGTCACAAAACTTCAAATACCACTAGAGTTGGCTGCTCAAGTCTCACCTGGACTATGAGGTGAGCCGGCGACCTGAGTCCCTGGTGGCTTAGGGAGCCAATCTGGCTGAACCCATGATGACTGCCTGCTACCAGTGCCATGTGTCAACACGCTCCTGAAACAGCTTCCCTCCTCCAGGGGGTCTGAAAAGCTGCCTTGAGATGCTTCCATCACAGAGCGCTGCAGATGAAATTCTGCTTCCTCCAGGCCTCCCGCTCTTCCACAAGCTGGGGGAATCTGGGGCTTATCAGCTGCAGGAGACTTGTACTTCTCAAACAGCCACAAATAGGGGATCAGCCCCACCTTTCAAAGCCTCAAAGAATTGGGTGTGCCCATGCCCGGGGCCAGCCCTACTCAGCTGCAATCCTGAGAGAGCTGACAAGAGCCTTCCAGGCCAGAGGTCTACAGCAACTGTAAGCCCCTGAGCCTAGCAAACCGCCATGCTGGGGCCTACTCACTTAACAGGAAAACTACAACAGAAATGTGCTATTAGACATTACAGCCAGCTGTCCTGGGGTCCCCAGACTTGATAAAGTGACTGAAGGGTCCATAGCAGCCACACCTAGCTGAGCATTACAACCAACTGGCCAGGTGTACAGCCTAGACTCCCTGGGCAACTCCAGCAAAAATAACCCTGCCACAATAGAAGGATACATGCAGCCAACACAGGGGGAACTCCTTCAACATTAGGAACTGGTGACAAGAGGGAAGCACACTGTTGGGCCTCATAAATCTTCTATTACATAAGGCCATCTCTCCAAGATTGAGAGATGTAGTTGACCTACTTAATACATAGACATAAGCACAGAGAAAGAGGCAAAATGAGGAGGCAAAGGAATACATGCCAAGTAAAGGGAATAGGAAAAACTCTAGAAAAAGAACTAAATGAAACAGAAATAGGGGCTGGCCCCGTGGCCAAGTGGTTAAGTTCGCGCGCTCCGCTGCAGGTGGTCCAGTGTTTCGTTGGTTTGAATCCTGGGCACGGACATGGCACTGCTCATCAAACCATGCTGAGGCAGAGTCCCACATGCCACAACTAGAAGGACCCACAACTAAAAATACACAACTGTGTACCA